GCGTGGCAATAAAGGGGTTAATCTGCAGAGCACAGAGCCATCTGGCTGAGCTGGTTTGTTATAATCGAGCAGATTATGTTCACGGGACTCAGAGTTTAAGGCTCCTCTCCCATAGAGCAACTCTGCACAACCCAAGCAGACCAACTTTGGGACTTTGAATGAACATATTTACATCCACCTCTCTCTTCATGTCGACTTTTCTGGAAACATTCACACGGATGCCATGGTTACTCCTACCACGGTAAGGGAAATTTGACGTTTTCTAATAGGGTCCTAAGAGGGCGGGGAGGGGAGGGGGGGAGAGAGGTCCTTTAAAGATGTATAATGGGGAGGAGGGGGGGGTCTTGTAAGCAGTAGATCTGTCCCAAATGTTGTTGCTTTTCCCATTGTGCCTCCTCCTTCTCCACCCCTACTTGCCCTACAGCTTGCTTTAGTCCTGAGGTTCCTCTCTCCTCCTGCTCTATACACTGTTGTTCAGGTCCCTGGCAAGAAAACAGCAGAGGAGAAATATGAGGTGCTAAAGGAATCTTATTTAAGAGGCAAAAGCAAAGGAGACTTTTGGTTTTACTTTAAGAGGGAAACCAGCAACTTCAGATATAACAAAAGGAGCTGCAAATTTTGAACGTGGACTGCAAGAACCAGCCTCAGCATACGTAGCATGCTTGCCCTCAGGGAAAGTTAGAGCCCATGACAAGGAAAGTCAAAATTCACAATTTCTAGACCTCCCCAGTTTCAGGTAATTGACTTCATTGGAGCTTTCTTTTTTCGTGTGTGCCAGCCACTGGAAACCCTATTCGTGACCTTTGAATCCATCCCCATTCTCCTCAAACCCAGACACTAAATTCTCTGGGAGGAACTGGAGATCAAAGGATTCCCTGAACATCTGTGTCTAGGTGAAAAAGATACACTCACTTTGTGCTAGGATGGCAGGAAAACTATTCTTACGCTGCAATTTCCAGCGTTTGGTAAGTGCCTTCTAGGAATGCAGCACACTAATCAACACAGACGCACATATAGAGAGCAAAATAGAAAGCTGTTTCTCATCTAAACAGCTGAAATGCAGCTTAAAGCGTCAGTTACTGGCGAGTCCTTATGGAGACACCAAACTGCTATTAGCCAAGAGGGGAAAAAGTCCTTGAATGGTTTAGATAGTTTTCTGATCAGTTCTTAATCCTTCATTAAAATAAACGGGAAAGCTCTGTGTTGGTCCTATCTCTTGAACTATAAATATGCAGTGTCCGGAGAGATGGATATTTTGGATTGAATAGGGCTGCTGTGTGCACATTCTCTGGTTCCTATATTGCAAAACTAGTTATTTAGAGATGAGTGTGTGTGTGTGAGAGAGGGGGGTTGCTTTCTCAGACACCCCCCCCGACACACACCCCTTTTAAATAGACAAGGATGTGTGTTATATGGTACAGTCAATTGTTATGAGCTACAACCTTTCAGAAAGCACTCTTTGCTTTTAGGCTCATGTGATTTGTTGCATGAGGAGTGCAAATGGTCTGTAAGGTTTGCCTTTACATTGTGCCTTCATGAAAATACGCAGACAAATAGGAGACACATTTTCAGGCCCAGAAACACATAATCTGTGCAAACCTGTAAGTGGAAGAGTGGTACAAGAAACACCTATAAATAAGATGGAAGAAAAAGGAAAATCTAATAATAAAAAAGAGAAAACCTCACTTTGTGGTAAGGCAGACAAAAGCAGTAGAGAATGGAAGAGAGTTCAGCATGGTTCCAGCTGCTAGTAGTAAAAAGTCTGGTCTTAGATACACGTGTCAGTACCAGGAGCTCTGCGTGTTAGCATGGCAGGGGGAGGAAAACTAGATATGACTGCAGGTCATGGACCCAAAATATGGAGAAAAGAGGACATACCAGCAGAGCCAGGAGGGGAGTGCTTTGTGTAGAAGGGTGCTATATGTTGAGGTATGCAATACATGGAGGTTTTGAACTATAATTATTTTTTTTTTTTTTTTCCCAAGGGAAGAAGAACTAAATGATACATAGAAAGATAGATATAAGAAGTTTAGAGGGAAAGTGCGATATGGCAAAAATAAACTGCTGTGTATTAGGTGTTGTATATTGGGGGAGTAAGGGCAGGTGAGCCATGCAAAGGTGGTCAGCTTAAAAGGGGAACTGCTGCAGGTCAACAGGAAAAAGAGGATCTTTGTGGGTGGAAAAAGTTTAGGAGCTCAGAGGGGAAGTAACACTCTAGAGGGATGGGAAAAGGTGCTGAGTGGAGGCTGGGTAAGGATATGAAAGGGACATACAAGGATGCTAGGGTCTGCTAGGGGGAGGTAGGTATGGAGTGGGAGTGGAGGGAGAAAGGTGAAAGCACAGGGCACAAAGGATGTTTGGAGGAGGAAGAAAAATGTGAACTACTGTCTATTTGGAGAAAGGTATGGAAAATAATCAGATACATGATGCTTGTAGGGGGCGTCTAAAGGAGACACCTTTGATTCTGTCAAGAAATAGATATGGGGCTGTGTTTGAGAGGAAGGTGTTAGAGTATGAAAGGGACAGCTTGCGTGGTGATGGAAACACATGCCAAGGAGAGGAATACAGACAAAAAAATGAGAAGGATGGAAATAGGGTGTGGTGATGGGAAAAGAGTATAGGGACCCATAAAGGTATGTGAAGGGCTAGTTGCTTAGAGAAGTTTCAGAGGAGGTTGGAAGCCTGCTGGAGTAGTGCTATAGACATGTGCTGCTGTCTGCTTGCGAGGGAGAGGCAGAACTGAGGAAGCTCCTGTGAGGAAATGCAAGATAATGGAAATCATGGGGGCAGGGTGAACTGTGACAGGAATATAAAGATGTGACAGGTCCTGAGAAGCATGAGAATGGGGAAAGATGAGGAATGTAGGAGGCATAAGGATGAAATGAAGAGCTGTGTTTTCTGTAAAGATGCCTGGGCAAAAGGTCATTTAGAAAAAAGTATAAGGAAAGAGAGTGCAGGGTGAGACGAAATTTAGTTTTGTATCGTTTTGTACGCAAACAGAGAAAGTAGTGTAAAGGTGCAGGGGTGGCTTGGCCAGCAGAAACAGAGGATGCTTCCTTACTGGGCAGTTAGAATAACACAGGGGAAGAAGAGGCAATACGTTACAGGGGAAACAATTGGGGAAAATAATGGAAAATAAGGAATAATATGAGGGGTGTGGGAGGAGGAAAACAGAGACATGGAGAAAAAGTAGTGATTTTCTGTTAAGAGAGACACAACAAATGTGCTTATATCTCTGTGGTAGGTACTGGTCAAGTGAAGGAGTAAAAAGGAACGGAACAAATGTGCTAGCAGAGAAATGAATAAAGATATAAAGGGGTGGGAGGATAAGGAATGGGAGGGATAGCTACCTGGAGGGCTGTATAAACCACATGGCTGTACTAAGGTCAAAAGTAAAGTGTGAAGTGTGTGGGGAGGCAAGTGGAGTTAGTAGTTGTAGGGCATGAAGTGGAAGCGAATGGGAATGACAGTTCATGTTTATGAGGAGTGAGAAGCTTAGCGTAGGTTGAGACACAATAATGTGCAGGCAAGGAAAGTACCTGCCAGTTTGTGCCTGATGTAAGGCTGTGGAAGAGAAGGTGAAAGGAGTGAAAAGTTGTGTCCGATAAGAGAGATTTGTGCACACAGCATGCTCTAAGTAAATGAGGGAAGCACAGGTAAGGATTGCAGACCTGGGTGTGGTGCCTGGGAGAAGGAAAACAGCTTATGGGGGAGGGAAGAGTGATGAGGAGTGGGAAAATGTTTATGATGGCTTCAGCTGTCTGTAGTTTTCTGCGTTTTAGTTTAAGTGAGGCTGTCTAAGTGTGCAAGTGGCCATACATGCACGCAGAGCAGCACAAGAGCAGATTGGGAGCTAAGTGCAAGGAGAGAACAAGTAGGAGGCACAGGTAAATGCATAGAGTCAGTGATGATAGGTGCACGGACGTATGAGACGCTGGTTTTGTGTGCAGGTCAGGGACAGATGTGTTCAGTCAGTACTATGCTTAGGTGACTGGCAGAGTTGTAGAGGGAGGCATGTGATGAGAATGATCCAGTCAGTCTGCAGGAAGAGACTGAAATCAGTGAGGGCCATGTAAGAGTACTGGGTTGCTGTAAAGAATATATGTCTGTGTGGAAGTTACAAACACGCATCCAGGAAGCCGTGCTGATCTATAAGATGGCTATCAGAGCCCAGCTGGAGAATCGTGTGTCCATTGCATTTGTGGCACAACTCTCTCTGTCGAAATATGTAAGACGCGCAACAAAGGTGAGTTTCGTGAGTGCTAAGAAGCAATGTTTGCATTGAGAAAGAGGG